TATAGGCGCCGAGCCAAGAACTCCTGAAATTTTTTTGTAAATGTAAGTTGGCTTTATCTCTGTAGCCAGTTTTTAGATTTAAATCAGAAAAGTTGCTTATTTGTGTTTCCTACTCAGAGGATTGACTCTTAATCCTAATCCTGACACTTGTGTCAGATTTATGGAATAATGTGATTTACAGATCATAAAGAGACATTATGAGATCATCCTTTTTACTCCCCATTAAGACCTCAGCCTAGGAGCATGCTCACCTACTTCATCTCTGCTTTGTACCAGTGAGTTATGTTTCGATAATGGCCTCCTGATTGAGTAAAGGTGGACTTGGAGATAACCATGTAGTTGTTTGCAGCTTTTAGGGTACCATACATTATTAAATCTTGAATCAGTTTCTATAGGAAGAAGACAATTCTTTAATTTTCATTACTTTCGTTTTTGACCTTGCCTGCTGTTGTGGCTGCTGTTTGAGAACAGGTCAACTGGAAGAGGGTCACCAAGAATGACACCTTAAAAAAAGAAGCAAAGAACAGAGAGTTATAGATTTGATATTCTCTTTCAGCTCAGTAACAGTCTTACTATGAATCTGAGTAAGTCACAACTTCCCTTTGGTCCCATTTACTTTGCTATAACATGTCTCTTTATTCAGAGTCGATTTTGAGATAGGAAGATATTTATTTAAACTTGCATCAAGTAATTAGTGCACAGTACATATGGAAAGACAATCCTTTTAAAATCCTTAGAAAATTTTGTTTAGTATTTGGCTTTGTCTGGCCTTACTCTTTGCCTCAATTGTGAATTATTAATGGCAGCTTTTTTTTTTTTTTGAGACCCTGTGTCCCCTTCGGTAGAGTGCTGTGGTGTTACAGCTCACAGCAACCTCAAATTCTTGAGCTTAAGCAATTCTCTTGCCTCAGCCTCCCAAGTAGCTGGGAATATATGTTAATGACAGCTTTAATAGAGATGCCCTGATCTCCATAGTTAAAAAAAAAAAGTAAAATTGGTTTAAAATGGCTCGTCGCCTGTGGCTCAAGTGGCTAAGGCGTCAGCCACATACACCTAAGGTGGTGGGTTCGAATCTAGCCCGGGCTGCCAAACAACAATGATGGCTGCAACCGAAAAAAGTAGCCAGGTGTTGTGGCGGGTGCCTGTGGTCCCAGCTATTTGGGAGGCGGAGGCAGGAGCACTTGAGCCCAGGAGTTGGAGGTTGCTGTGAGCTGTGATCCCACGGCACTCTAACCCGGGGGGACAGCTTGAGGCTCTGTCTCAAAAAAAAAAATTGGTTTAAAATGCCAACATGAAATGGATACTCTTACAAATTTGCTGCTCATTACCACATTAATGTAGTGCCTTTATTAGGAATTTAACAATAAAATCTTGTTAATGAGACCGCAAATTCAGAGTTGACAAGTTACCCTTGGATACGTATAAAAAATAGTTTAAGCATCATGTTTAATTTCTAAAAACATATGAAAGCAGTAGTTTACATTAAAAAACTTGTGTGTTAATGCCTCACATTCAGCTTTAGCAGGTCCTCAAGGACCTTCCCTGATATTTGGTCAACAAAAGTATTAAGTGTAAACCTCAGAAAAGATAAGTGAAAATGGAAGAGGACCTGAGAAGATAAATGAAAATGATTGAATATAGGCCCCATTTTTTTTATATATATATGTATATATATATATTATGAAAGATAAATAAGCTGAGAAGGAATTTAAGTGTTATTTTTAAAAACAGATGGGACAAATATATTCTTGTTCATCTAATCCCAGAATCGAGTTGGGGAACTTGAAACTTGGATGACATAATTTCAGGACATATAGATTTTTTTTTTTTTTTTTTTTTTGAGACGGAGCCTCAAGCTAGCCCCCCTAGGTAGAGTGCCATGGCATCACGCTCACAGCAACCTCCAACTCCTGGGCTCAAGCGAGTCTCCTGCCTCAGCCTCCCAAGTAGCTGAGACTACAGGCGCCCATCACAACGCCTGGCCATTTTTTGGTTGTAGCCGTCATTGTTGTTTGGCGGGCCCGAGCTGGGGATTCGAACCCGCCACCTTAGGTGTATGTGGCTGGCGCCTTAGCCGCTTGAGCCACAGGCGCCGAGACGTGGACATATAGATTTTTAAATAAAAGATAATTATTGTATAACAAAACATCTCAGAATTTAGTAGCTCTTTTTTTTCTTTATGAGACAGTCTCTAAAACTGTTACCCTGGGTAGAGTACTGTCGTGTCACAGCTCACAGCAACCTCAAACTCTTAGGCTTAAGCGATTCTCTTGCCTTAGCCTCCAAGTAGCTGGGACTACAGGTGCCCGCCACAATGCCTGGCTATTTTTTGGTTGTAGTTGTCATTGTTTGGCAGGCCCAGGCTGGATTCGAACCTGCCAGCTCCAGTGTATGTGGCTGGCGCCCTAGCAGCTTGAGCTATAGGCACCAGTCTTGCCAAGGCATCTTTTTTTTGAGATTCTCAAGGAACTAAATATGATCTTTCCTTAATAATGTTACCTTAGAACATTATACTGTTTTGAGTTACTGTAGACATAATACTAGTTGAATTAATGTGATTCATTAGCTTTTCTTATTTATTTGAGAAACATAGGTATCTAAGAAGAAATTACATTTTTTTTTTCAGAGACACAGTCTTTATTGCCCTTGGTAGAGTCCTGTGGCATCTCAGCTCACAGCAGTCTCCAACTCCTGGGTTTAGGCAATTCTCTTGCTATACCCTCCTGAGTAGCTGGGACTATAGGCGCCCGCCACAATGCCTGGCTATTTTTTGTTGCAGTTTGGCCAGGGCCAGGTTCAAACCTGCCACCCTTGGTATATGGGGCCAGCGCTGTAACCACTGAGCCACAGGCGACATCCAGAAATTACGTTTTAAAATATATTTTCAGATTTTTTTTAGACAGTGTCTCACTCTCTTCCCCCAGGCTGGAGTACCGTGGTGTCATAACTCACCATAAGCTCAAACTAGAAGATTCAAGCAATCCTCTTGCCTTAGCCTCCTAGTGGCTGAGATTACAGGCTCCTGCCTCCATGCCTGGCTACTTTTTCTACGTTTTGTAGAAATGGGGTCTTGCTCTTGCTCAGGCTAGTCTTAACTCCTGAGCTGAAGTGAGGCCTCGGCCTCCCAGAATGCTAGGATTATAGGTTTGAGTCACTTGCCTGGCCAGGTTTAGAGTTTTT